GCTCCCGCCTTCATCCCGGGGCAGCGGGAGGCCCGGCCGTGCCCTACTGCCTGCGGCCGTGCGGGGCTGCGCCTCCCCCGTTCTGGGGCTGAAAGGCTCTCACCAGCGGGCCCGGGGGCTGGGGTTTGCAGGCAGCCTCCCTCTGCCGCCCGCCGAGGCCCAGCGCTGTAGCTTTTCAGTTCAAATTCAGCTCCCTTCTTCCCGTGGGAGTGATTTTTTTTTTTTTTTAATGGGGGCAGATAGTCATTAATTTGCAGTAGAGCTAACGTTCTCGTGTCTAGCCCTGATGGAGGATGTGATACGCAAATGGGATTTATCAGCTGCAGAAGTTACGTGCTGAAGAAGGCACTAAAGGGCTGTTGAAACTTTTGGTTTTCCCTGGACCGACATCCAGGGCAGGCTTGAAACTGCGGCTGGGGGGCTGGGAAAAAGGCGGGTGCTTTCCACAGTAAAAAGCGGAAAAGGAAGCGTTCTAAAAATTCTGATTCTTCACTTATTATTGCGCCCATGAAAATGGGCCGCTTTCTGTGTCGGTATGTTAGCACGCAGACAGGGATGAAAAGCTGCCAGGGAGATCTGTGCTCCTTGCTGTGTTAGGAGAGACTCTCCCCCCTCTCTGGGAGGCAGCTCAATTTTTTCCAAATTTGATTAATTCCCTGGCATTTCACAGGGGCCATGTGCTGCTTCACAGGCTCTTGCTGATTTTCCCCTTCGGACTCCCCCTAGCTCCAGTGGGGAAATATCATCTGGTGCTCGACCTGGGCATGATTTACGGAGGAGCCAACTGGTAACCTCCTTTTCCAGACCTTATCCTGACTTGTACCACCCGTGGAACAGATCTCACGAACTGCCCTAAACATTACCTGGAGTGACTAGGGACAAGCTCAGCCTGCTCCCGCCTTTCTGTCTGCAAGTGGTGGGGACAAGCACGTCGCTGCTCCTTCCTTATTCGGACCCCATGGGTATTGCTGCCCGAAGCCATCCCAAATTTTTTAATTTTGCGGGCTGTCATCAGCCCTGAATTTCTCACAGATTTCCTGATGCTGAGAATATTGTAAAGACGATCTGGTGTTGTGCGTCCCTGCTGTAGCCTTTTGGATCACTCTTTGGAGGGTAGGTACCTGTGGCAGTAATTATCTGTGTTAAGTTGCAGACTGGATTCCTGAAAGATTTCCTAGTGATGAGTTTCTCATTATAGGAACTGGAGGCTGTGAATTACAGGCTTGCTTTTTTAGTTAAGCAAGTACTCAGAAAGTATTCTTGTGCGTAGTACCCTTGTCACCAGAAATCCTTGCGCAGCAGTTTGGAAACCACTGGTCTAGTACAATTAAAAAAAAAAAACAAACCAAAGAAACCCAGGGCACTGCAGGAGGAGGAACCACAAGGTGGCAATCTCCCTCCGTCCTTCCACTGGCAAAATAAACCTCTGGCAAAAAAATCTCAGGCAGTAACTGTGTAAAGCCACAGAGGCAGTTGGTCATGGCTTGCACCTTCCAGAGTCGTGACAACACTTGTTTCCATGCTCCGTTTTCTCTTCTGAACACTTTTCCCTTTAGGGTGAAACTCTCAGGCTTGAAGTGGTGGCACTGGAGGCTGCTCTTTGCTGGCTTTTCCCTCCTTTGCCCCAAAATGGGCACCAGATGTTGCCTGTTAGAGGGCTAACTACCAGTGCTGCTTGCGTGCATGCTGGCAGATCTACTGCGTGCTTGGAGAGAAAGTTTCCTCCTTCACTGGAGGCACTGTCCAGTTCAGAATCTCTCTAACCTCATGCTACATTAATGTACGGTGTAGCGGTGGGTCAGGATCCTGCTTTGCACTGAGACGCCTCAAGGGGAGTAAAATAACCTGGATGTTAGGACTAGGCAGGGACCTGCAGGTCGAGCGTGACATACGGTCTCGAGGGGACTGCAAAGCCTTAGTGACAACAGCTCCACTCCCAAAAAGATGTGGCCAGAGGGTGTAAAGACGCAGAGGAGAAATAAAGTTCAGTTTGGGGTGCAGCTGCCCTGGTCCTGCTGTATCAAACAGCATCTGGTGCGATGAGCTGCCTCTCGATCAGGACATAGTTGTGTTCCTGCCAGATGTTAGCTTACATGTGCTACATGTAAAAGTAAACTGGTGCGAAAGCTGTGGTCTGATGTGCTTTCAGTAGGATTTGCCCTGCATAAGTGACGACGTGCTAGCTAGCCTCTCGCTGAGAGGATGCACTCCAGAAGTCGCAGGTGTGTGGCTGGAGCATGTTCAATGAGTCAAGATAGGAAATATCTTCCAAAGCTCCAAATAAGACAAAACAAACTGAGCTTTAGCACATGCTCAATTGATTGGGTCTTTGGCAAAGACGTGAATCTGCAAGGCTCTCACTGAGGCCTGTCCCGGCTGTATCCTGCCTGGTGCATCCTTCAGCAAGCACGGCACGGCTGTCCTCGTTTCCTTCTTAGGCCTTATACCTTATCTCCTTCTTTTACCTGTTGTCCCCTTACGACATTGCTCTCCAGTTAGGAATAACAACCTGCTTCCCCCTCACCAGGTTCTGCTTTACGCCGTGTCTGCCACCACTGAGCTCCCTCTGTGGCTTCCGTGTCGCAGCCTGCAAGGTCCACGTCCCCTGTCTGTGGTGACATCTCTGATGGCGGCTGTCCTCTTGAAGCTCTGACTGTGCAAGTCCAGGCAGGACCTGAAGGAGGCGGGAAGCGTGGACATGGGGAGTTTTGTAAAGTCCCTTCACATCACCTTGACTTTAAGGTCCGAAGCCAGATTCCCAGAGGCTGCAGGTTGCAACTCGCTTCCTTCCTGGTTGATGGGAGCCGGGGAGCCACCAGGGACTACTAGTGGGGATAGAAACGTCAGCAGTCCAAATCATGATGGGAAACAGAAGGAGTAAAGAAAATCTGGATTATTTTTTTTTCCCCCCAGAAAGTGGGAAGAAATCTAGCAAGCACAAGGCTGGCTTTTCCTGGAACATGTGTGCAACGTGATTGTCACTAATGCTCTGTAGCCAGCTGAGGGAAGATACTTTCCCCAAGTAAGTGAAATAAGTACCGAGATGTGGGATATGTGATAACTTCTGAGGCAGAAGGAATAAGACCCCAGGCAAGGGAGCTCCAAACAGTGTGCTGTGTCTTTTTTTTTTTCCATCTCTGAGCCTGTGGTGTTCAATTAACCCCTTTTCTCTGTCCTGGCCATGGTTGCTGCAGGTTGCAGAGCTTTACCCAGCCTTCTGGACGATGATGTGTTAAGCACTCGGTTTTTGTGATAACCAATTTTCTTCTGAAATGATACCAAAAGTCTGCTGTTTTGATTTAAGCTGTTTTCCAAGCATTTTGGTTAATAACGAAAGACAGTCCCCTCCAAGAGAATCTAACTTGAGGAAGCCATGAAATTTAATTCATTTCTGCAACTTAAATGTATAATCAGTGACATATGGAATACTAAATACAGGGGGAAATGTCATTGTTTAAGTCAAATTTCTGCATTCAGTCAAACCCCAATAGTTGTAACATCAAACTGTAGTTTCCATTGTACAGGAAATAAAGCATCATTTTTTCAAAGAAAATAGACATGCAATTGCATGCCTATTACATTGCTTACACAGCTTTATTTTTAGCCTTCTCCATGCTG